TAGTTTGACTCATCTCCTCCCTCTTCATCCCTGCAGAATTATCCAGAGCTATGTGCTGAGAGAGGAGACAGGGGCCCTCTCATCAGAGGCATCTGATATTAACAAGGCCCACCTCAGCCGGCGGGGAGGCATCATGGCTTCGCTTTACACCTCCCACCCGGCAGACAGCGGGCTGACCCTGGACCTGTCGCTGGAGATTAACAGGAAGCTGCAGGCCGTGTTGGAGGACACGCTGCTGAAGAACATTACGCTGAAGGTAAGGCGTACCCCAGCAGGCTTCATCGCACCAGAATATTCCTCTTGAAATGCAGAACAACTCATTTAAACGCAGTGATGATACTGATGACCAGAGCAGTTTCCTTTTGCAGCCTTAAGTTGCTTTTTTTTTTAAAGTATTTTATTTTGTGATTCAAGCGGATAATTAATCAGCCGTGCGAGCGTCACGCTTCACCTTTGGAGCGACGCAGCCTGATGTGACTTCATTATCAAAGCGTGCGGGCGCTGCAATCACCATTTTAATCCAACAAATCTAAATATAAAAATGTGAGTTGATGTCAAACTGGTGGATTCACAGTTTGACGCATCACAAAACACCGAAAAATTATTCACATCAGCATTTCTAATTCATACAGCTGCCAGCGTAGCATTTCCCCTTCTTCTTCATTTGCACAGATCACGCTCGTGCTTGTAAAGGTGTATTCTGCTGCGTTCGTGTTTTTTATTTTAACGGTTGGAAGATGTTTTTGTGTTTCTAGCGTTTGTGTTCTTGTCCTACATTAATCTCACACCTCTGTAAGCCCTGGAGACTGCAGGATCCCTGGCTCGCTCTGCTTTAGCGCCTCTAGCACAAAGTTTCACACTGAGATATTTGCTATTAAACTTCTATCAGCTCGACATCCTACAAATTATTATTGCGTTAAGTTCAGTCAAATTTCTTGTGTATCTCTTATGGCATCTTTTAATTGCGTCGTTGCCTTTGTATTCTGTTTAATGGCAGGAAGCAAACCGTGCCACACAGCCAGTTATTGTCAATAACCGCATGTTGTGAAACCACCATTAAAAATAATGTGATAAAGGGTGAATGTCAGACCACCTTTTCCCTTTCGTTAAGTGGCGTTATGTGATATTTGGATCGCTCTCCGAAGCTTCAAAGCCAGCCACAGCATGCATCGTATTGTCTCTGTGAGATATTTGACAGGCTGACAGTCCTGCGACGAGCAGTTTGTCAGCTTGACATAACTCGAG